TTGAGGGTTTTTTTTTTTTTTAATTCAGCCATGTTTTCAGTGTATATTGTATGTCTAACTCTGAACAAAGTGAAGACAGAATGATGATATAGACCCTTTGCAGCTAATATTTTATGGGCTAGATTAAAAACATAAGTGACATTACACACCTAAGAACACAGAGGGGTACACACTTAATGGGCACTATGAGTGAACAGGGAAAGCTTCTAGGAAAAAACTAATTGAGTGAGCAGTTTGCCTGATTTGTGGGGATAGAGGACTTAGGAGGTCATGGCAGGGCAAGGGCATTCTGGTTTGAATATAACACAAAGGAAGAAAGACATTAAAGAACCTGGCACATCCTAGAAAATATGAACAGTTCAATGCTGCATATGGCTTGTGTGCACTTCAAAAAAAGACAAAAATGGTGGCAGGTATAAATGCTAGAAAAGACTTCTGAATCAGAGTGCAAACTAATTTACCTGCTAAACTAAGAAATTAAGATGGGATCTGATCTTATATATCATAGGGAATGCAGTTTTCCAAGAAGATATATGACAATATTGGGGGTTTTTTGCAGGAAATAACACTGGCATCAACTTGGATCTTGGACTATAGTGAGGAAAGACTAATGGTAGAGACCTAAAACGTTACTATGGAAAGCAGAGTTGATGATCAAAAGTAGTAACAGTGAAGATGAAGAGAAGGAGATACATGTGGTACTATCTGTATGCCACACTCCTGCTTTATTTAAACATCCTTCACATGTGCTAGAGCTCTCGTGGCATAGTGCCTAAGCCATCTGACTGCTAACCAGAAGGCTGGCAGTTCAAGCCCACCAGCCGCTCCTCAGAAGTAAGGTTGGGCAACCTACTTCTGTAGTGATATCACCTCGGAAACCCAAGGAGGGGTCACTGTGAGTCGGATCTGACTCCACAGCAGTGCATGCGCACACACGTGATACTTTCCCTTTTCCCTACTTTTTGGTATTGAATATCCTTTGCATGGAAAAAGTTCATATAATAAGATTATCAACATTAGACTTAACCATGGCCATGTTTTTTCTTACCTTGTATTAGGAAGAAAACAAGTAAAAATTGCAAGAAAAGTAAAGAGATCTAGATTACAGGCTTGGTCTTGGTTGAGATCTAGGGAATATCAATTAACTTCTCAAAACTCTGCTTTTCTCACTTATAAAATGAGGAAACAGAACTAGAGGATCTAAAATTCTTGAAAGTTTTAAAATGCTATTATCATACTGATAATATCTTTAATTGTCTGGCCTACATTAAAAATGCAAATATGAAATTCTATTTTAATTACTAACTAAATGTGAAAACTCATCAAAAACAGGCTGTTTCCTGTTATCTTCTGTTATCACCTTATTATCTTATGTGTACCTATATTTATTTGTGAAAAATTTCATGACAAATTAAGGTTATGTAGTCATCAACTCATTTGAAGACCTAAGGCAAAACTAAAACTGTAAGATGTCTCTGTCAGCCATTTCACTTTCAAAACACATATCCAAAAAATAAATACATACATACATATCCAACAAGGAGCATTCTTTTATCGGAGTGGTTCAAGAGACTAATCATACCTGCAAAGTTGAATCGTAGTATTGTGGGGTAAAAGTTTTCCATCACACTATCCTATGGAATCATGTTTATCTGAACTCTTACTGACAAAAGAATTTTTCAACAATATTCCTTAATCAATCAAAACAAAAAAAATAGTTCCAACTTGAAAAATATGGTCTTATTTATAACCATAAATTGTGTGACTTTTTGCTAATGTCGAAAGAAAAACTATTGCACTAATTCTTGCTAAACTAAAAAGTCTACAAACATTCCAAACTTGTTTCAAGAAACACATTTCAGCCTGATGTTTAAAAAAGGATAGTTGAGTCAAAAGATTCTCCAAAAAAAAAAAAATGGTGAAATAAATAATATTTTTACCAAAGGCAGAAAACTCAGATGTACATCTTTTATTTCCAGTATACGTTTTAAATGTGTACAGTATAACATGGCCAAAGTGAAAGCCATATTTCAAGGGAAATAGTTCTAAACTTTTATGAACTGTAGCATTAAACTATAATGGCCTGCAGTATAGCAAGGACCGTGAGGATGGCATGCGGAACTGGGCAGTGTTTTGTTGCGTTGCACATGGGGTCGCCATGAGTAGGAATCACTTGACAGCACCTAACAACAAGTATTAAACTACAAACAGAAGGTTTTTATAAGTGACATTTTATTTTACTTCTTCCAGTGTTTTCTTCTAAAGACTTGAATAATTTTTTGGTTATGTACTACATTCTATACACCAGGATGGTATGTTAAAACACAGCCTATTAAGTTCTCTCTAGCTCCCTAAAATAGCACTGTGTATTTTTCTGTACTAACCAAATTAAAAATGGAAATAGCTAAGCTGTAATTCACCATGATTTGAGTACAAAATCTTTTACTTTACAAACCACCATCAGTTGAGAATAAACACTACAAATTTTTTGTTCTTTCAAATCGCTACCATCAATGCACATAAAGGAGCTCTGGTAGCATAGTGGCTAAGACACTTGCCTGCTAACCAGAAGGCTGGCGGTTCAAACCCACCAGCCACTCCTCGGAAGGAAGGTTGGGCAATCCTACTTCCGTAGTGATACTGCCTCGGAAACCCAAGGAGGGGTCACTATGAGTCGGGGCCGACTCAACAGCACATAACAACAACAACAACAATGCACATAAAATTAATCCCACTACCAACCCACAAGAGATGTGTTTACTATAAAGCTTCAAATCTCACCAGCCTCTTGGTCCAAAGAAAAAAAAAACTTTATTGCAGTTTTTCTTACATGTTTTTTATGATAAGCAAATGCTTTCAAATGTCAAAAGTTCACCACAAAAATTTTCAAAAAGCTTATGTTGAAGATAAAGCGATCAGATGTGATGGAAGCATCTTTCTCTACTAAAGCAGCTTTATTACTTCTAATCAAATAAATTTCACTCAAGAAGGATGTGTATTTGAACAGTAACTTTATTAGAAGGGAAAAATACTCAAAAAGAATACAGCAATTAAATTATTGGGTGTTTTTTGTTGCTGTAAACCCATGCTCCTCAAATACAATTCAGAAGCAAATTTTTTAACTTTTCTCATAAATTGTCTGTTAAAACGAAGGTATTTTAACCAAAAAAAAAGTTTTAATACATTTAAAAATTCTAGATCAAATATATTACAAAGTTGGCATGAGTATGAAAAGAACCACTTTGATTTACTTTGTAACACCAATGCACAAACAGAAAAACTTGATGTGCTTTCCCTAAATATATTCGATAATACTCCCACGGGAATACCAGTATAACAAGCAGAGTGGATATTTCAACAAAATACAAGTTAATTATAGTACCTCACATACATTCCATGACACTCATTCAAGAACACCTGGTGATTAACTAAAAGAATTAGGAGAGTTTACAAACAACTGAGTACTATCCGGCCTGTTCAGACATAAGGGGGGGGGGGGGGACCTAGAATAATAATCCCTGACATTTGCATACTTCGAATTTTCAACGTACTTTTACAGAAAAACTTCTGAAATTTTTGTATGGAGAATCATAATTCTTGACACCAATAGCCCACATCTAAACGGGGGAGGAGATAGCAAATGTCTCCAAAACATTACAATAAAACATTGTTTTTCTCTTTACGAAATTAGCGCACAAGTGCGCGCGCACACACCCTCACATCTACCTACTGTGGTCCTATTTCATAAACCAGCCATATCAAATTATGACAGCTTGCGAAGCCAAACAGCCTTTCAAATCTTACTAACGTCAATGGGTTGATAATCAGTTTATTCAGAAACCGCTGCGATCCTAAAACTCTCTTCTTTACAGTTTGACTGTTTTTAAAGAGTCGAAGCGTATCAAGCAGAAATCTACTGCCATCGAGTAAATTCCGAACTCGATTCGAGTACCCCCGCTTCCCCGAACCCTGGGGAAGGGGAATTCCTGCAAGAATGGGACGTGTGATTACAACTGGTTTTAATCCAACCTTCACCGAGAGCTGGTTCCACCTGTCCTGCAGCAGGAACTTAGAACTAACTATCCGTAATAGATTATCCAGCTCGTCTTCCAAGAGAACATTCGGTAGGGGATTCCCAAGGGGCTCCTATGGTTCTCCCTTAACTCCAAGGAAAACAAAGGTTCAGGCCCAGCTCTATGTCACTCCGTATTCTGTTCTTGATAATCTGGGTGCCCAGTCAACCTCTGGCAGAGGATGGAGTGGAGGACATGAGAATACCCAAGATGGGAAGAAAAGAGGTGCCAGACAACCTCAGACACCTCTTAAGTTCTTGAAGGCAAAATACAGTTCAGGTCTCAGGACGTCCCACATTCGAGGGAAAGTGCAGAACTCAGAATTAGAATGTGAAATCAGGGGCTAGTGAGGAGGGATCGAGTACCCTTGCGAGGGGCCAACTACGGCAGGCAGTTTCCAGGGGCGGAGGTCTAGTACTACTGTGCCCCTCGGGTCACACTCGAGAGACTGGCGTTCAGCCGCCCGACCGGCTCCGCGGCGAGGTTTCAAACCGCCGCCCCCGGGAGGGGCTCAGCCGATTGGAAGTTCTACAACCACCGTCACAGGGCTGGAGTGGCAACTCCTCGGCGGAGCTCTCTCCGCCCTCTGCTTCTTCCCAGGAGACCAGACCACAGAAACTCCACCTCTACCCGAGGTCCCAACTGGTGTCGCCGCCTGCTCCCAGCATGTGGAGCGCGCCCTTCGGGATGGGACCGACGGCCCCCTACAGGGCTGCGCCGCTGGAACTCGAGGGGCGCGACGGAACCGTGGGGGGGGGGGACGAACAGAAGGAGCGTCCCTCAGAGTCCGCCCTGGGACATGGCCCCGCAACCATCTCCGCCTGGCCCCTCTGGAATGGTCCGATTGGGCTCCGACCCAACCATCCCGCCAGGTCGCCGGAGGGGCGAGGACCCGAGCGACCCTACTACCCCCGCCCCTGCTCTTACCCATCTTTTCGCCTCGCCTTGTAGACGTGCCCGTAGGTGCCGCGTCCCACTTTGCACCCTTCGTACTCAAACAAATCCTCCACCCGCTCCCGCTCCGCCGCCAGCTTCGCCTTGAAATCATAATCCATTGTCTGCTTCCCCCATAGAGGCACCGGGACGCGGGGGCCGCCGCCGCTCAGTCCCTCCTCCTCCTCCCCCCGCGGCCGCCACTCTACTTCTCCAACAGCCGCCTCTTGGGCGCGCGCGCGCGCGCCGACCGCCGCTCCGCGATCAGCCTTCAGCAAGGGGCTCCTCGGCGGCCGCGGCAGCCACCTCCTCCACCTCCTCCTCCTCCTCCGCGGCGGCGGCGGCGGCTCCCGCAGGCACCCCCAGTCCCGCCTCCCTTCTTCATTTCCTTGTTTTGGAACCTGGTGGGCCGCGCCGCGGCTTCCTCGAGCTCATTAACGAACCAACCCTCCCGCCCTGAGGTCGCGGAGGCTCTTGGGGAATGTAGTCCTGGAGGCCTGAGAATTGGTGAAAGTTTTGCTAACGTGAGAACTATAACTCCCAGATTGCCTTGGGCCTTCACAGCCTCGCCCCCACAGGGCATGCACGCCTGCGCACTGAGCCGCCACGCCCCTTAGGTATTCCTAGTCTCCCAGTTCCTGTGAAGGTTGTAAAACGTGAAGTTGCAGTGTGCTTTCTGAGAATCTATGGAGCTAGTGGAGGAAAGCCCCTGTTCTGGTAGGAGGAAGGAATTCCACTCTGTCCAGGCGAGGAGAGTGGAAGGAAAGTACCTAACAAGCGCCTTGAGCTCCAGGCGTTTGAAAAGCGAGGACTGTGGTCATGGAGCAGTTGTACTGTGGATTGTTGTTTGTTTTGTATGGCAATTGGTCCTCTTGTTGCCCCGCCCCCATCCGGCCACTCATTGGCGGAGACTGTGACGTCCTTATTGGTACGTGGGTGTCCCCAGTTTTTGGCTTCTTTCCCGCTTTTGATTGGTAATTGGTTGTGCTTGGTTCTTCCTGATAGGTTAATCTTTCCTCTTTACTATGCAAGCACCTTATTTCAAATGCTGAACCGTCAGCAGTTTCTTAGCTCCTGCATTGATGTGAGGAAAACAAGTAACTTTTGAGCCTGGTTCTTTTCTTGGCGCTGTAGACAATCCTGTCCCCTACCCCCACCCGCAACAAACGCGGTTCTGGTAGTCAAACTAAAGTCATCTAAGAACAGTTGAAGTGCTTAGAAAATGCAGCGTTTTAAAAACGATCGTTTTGGTTGGATTGAAAAGGATTTTATGTGGCCTGTGCATGTTGGTGAGGAGCTCTGGTGGGGTAGTGGTTAAAGCATTCGGCTGCTAATCAATAAAAGTTAGCGGTTCAAACCCACCAGCCGCTCCGCGGGAGAAAGATGAGACAGTCTGCTTTCATAAAGATTTACAGCTTTGGAAACCCTATGGCGCAGTTCTACACTGTCCTATAGGGTCGCTATGAGTCGGAATTGACTCAGTGGCAGTGTGTTTGATTTTGATTTTGGATGCATGAGGTTCTAGAATGTTTCAGAAAGTCTCTTTAACCATTATGTATATTGATCCATTATTGCGTGCATAGTTTCTCAGATTCTCAGGTTAAAAATTTAAACGTGATTGGTACTAGGATAGGATTTAAGTACTACATTCAGTAGGAGCGAAAAGGAGGGAATGGTCAATTTTACTTCAAGTAAGGAAAGTTAACACTGACTCCTGTTTACTTGGTATTGGAAGAAGCCTAGGACACTGAAGGGAGCAGGGAGGATTGCTGATTTCCTCCAACACATCTGGAAAACTTCCTCAGCTCTTGAAGGTGTCTTCAATCAAGAATAACAGGTTAACAATTACTCAAAAGCAAAGATAAGAGGACAGGTAAATAAGAGTACTGGACGTGGAACAACTGAACACAAAGAGAATGTTGAGACGTTGTGATAAATGTAACTAATGTCACTGAACAATTTGTGTGGGAATTGTCAAATAGGAACCTAACATGCTGTGTAAATTTTAACCAAAAACCCAGTCAAGTCTTGTTTAACAAAAAAAAAAAAAAAAGTAACAGTTTCCCATATTGCAAACCACTATGATAACTGCTGGAGGTAATAGATTAAAAAGCTGGTCTTTTTCCCTCAGAGAACTAAAATCTGTTGGAGAAATAAACATGTAAGCAAATTAAAGGTAAAGTTTGTGGATAGAAAGAGCAATGATAGAATATGTGGAGCTCCTAAGTCTAGAGGAAGGAGCTCTGGTGGTGTAGGTCCTAAGGCATTTGACTGCTAACCAGAAGGTTGGTGGTTCAAACCCATCAACCACTCCAGGGAAGGAAGATGGAGCAATCAATTTCCTAAAGATATGCTACCTCAAAGGGGTTTGGTCTAAATATTGAGTTCATTTGGCATAGGCAGAGAACAAGCAATGAAAGAAAGAAGTGATGGTCTCAACAGTTCATTCAAGTCAAAAGGAAAGGAGGGTGTGCCTGGAATCTGATGATTAGTCATGAAGGGAACTGAGCTGCAGTCTTGCAAATCAAGTTCACCACATATGTGATGACGGTAAGCAAAACCAGGACTGAATTTCAATGATTATGCCCTTGGTTATGACCAGTTTATAAGATAAGTGAAAGTCAAATCTGAATTTGGTGGTAAAACTTCTCTTGCCACAGTCTAATCTAGATCAGAGAAATTTATAAAAGAGGTTTACCTCATGGTTTGAGCCACCCCAGGTAGGCTATAGTACCTCAGTGAGCAAGGATTAGGCTGGTTGCTTTTGGATCCCTTACATTTGGTTATTTTTTGACTAAGTATATTAGTTTCCTGGTCTGCAATAACATACTACCACAAACCAGGCGGCTTAATAAGAACAGAAATTCATAGTGTAGCCATTCTGGAATCTACCAGTCTGAATTCAGGGTGTGAACAGGGCTCCATTCTCTCTGAAGGCTCTAGGAGGAAAATTCTTTTTTTTCTCTCACAACTTCTAGTAGTTCCAGGTGCTCCTTTAAAGTTATGCAGCTATAGCGTAACTTAGTGGTCACATGACAGTTTTCCCTCTATCTGCCTCTCTGTGCCACTTCTCCTTTTTATATGGGCACTGCTTAGATTGGGTTAAGGCCCACCCTACTCTAACATGACCTCATGTTAATTGAAAACATCCTCTAAGACCCTCTATCCAAAGAAGGTCATGTTTACAGGTACCAGGGGCTAGGGCTTCAACATATCTTTTCAGGGACACAGTTCCATCCATAAGAGAATGTGCTATTCTTAGTTAAAAATAAATTTTCCTCAGAACCCCACTATTTTCTAACATTCAGTGATTCAGATATGTATTAAGATTGTTTTATCCCTTTTTTAACCAAAACCAAATCTGCCATAAAGTCCATTCTGACTCATAGCAACCCTACAGGACAGAGTAGAATTGTCCCATGGGGTTTCCAAGGCTAGAAAGCTTTACTGAAGCAGACTGCTTCATCTTTCTCCTGTGGAGCAGCTGGTGGGTTCGAACTGCAAAACTTTGGAACACCTATCTCTTTTTAAGTGTCCTATTTTTATACCATGGGAGCTCTGGTAGCATAGTGGCACTTGACTGCTAACCAGAAGGCTGGCGGTTCAAATCCACCAGCCACTCCTCAGAAGGAAGATGGGGCAATCTATTTCCGTAGTGATACTGCCTCGGAAACCCAGGGAGGGGTCGCTATGAGTTGGGGCCAACTTGACGGCACATAACAACAACAACATTTTTATACCATAGGAGCTCTGGTAGCATAGTGCCTAAGGCACTTGACTGCTCACCAGAAGGCTGGTGGTTCAAACCCACCAGCCACTCCTCGGAAGGAAGGTTGGGCAATCCTACTTCTGTAGTGATACTGCCTTGGAAACCCAAGGAGGGGTCTCTATGAGTCGGGGCCGACTCGACAGCAAAAACAACAACAACAACATTTTTATACCATAGGAGCTCCAGTGGCACAGTGATTAAAGCACTTGGTTGGTAACCAAAAGCCCATGGTTCCAACCCACCAGCCATTCAGCAGGAGAAAGGTGAAGCAGTCTGCTTCCATAAAGATTACAGCCTTGGAAACCCTATGGAGCAGCTCTACACTGTCCTACAGGGTCACTGTGAGTCGGAATCAACTAATAGCAATGTGTTTTGGTATATTTTCATTCCATAGAAATGTTTAAGATCTATCCTTTAATCTTAGTGATATAATCATTCACAAGGATGTGTTCAGCTGTGTTGTGGTTGTTGTTATGTGCCATCAAGTTGGACCCAACTTATAGCAACCCCTCCTTGGGTTTCTGAGGCAGTATCACTACAGAAGTAGATTGCCCAGTCTTCCTTCCAAGGAGTGGCTGGTGGGTTTGAATCTCCAGCCTTTTGGTTAACAGTCAAGTGCCTTAGGCAGTACGCTACCAGAGCTCCCGTGTCCAGTTGTAGGTATCTTTAATTCATTTTGTTCTTTTAGTTCTGATATTTTCCTTCCTCCTCTTCACTACCACCACCCCAATCTGTTTTCTTTGGGGAGACCCTTATTAGTCAAATGTTAGATTTCCCAAATTGACTCTTAATGCCTCATAACATTTTTCTCTCATTTTCCATCTTTACATTTGGGAAAATTGCCTTAATTTTACTTTCTACCCCTTCTGTTCACTTTGTATATTTTGCTGTCATCTTTCTACTGTTTAGGCTCTTTCTTCTTCTCAGAATAGTCCAACTTTATTTTGCACTGTTCTTGTTTTATGGATTAAATATATTTTTTAATATCTCTGAATATAGTAATTAGAGGTTTGTGTATTTGTGCTTCTCCTCTTTTCATTATTTGCTTTGCTTTCAGAATTATTTTTGCAGTTTTTACTTTTGTCTTCATTTTGATGGTCTTCCACATACATGTTAAACCTTGGTTGTTGATGTGTATTTAAGATTGAAGACAGTGTAGAGTATGTTTGGTTTGGTTTGGTTTGGTTTTTCTTGCTATTGTGTATGAGTCTGTTTCCTACTTGATCTCGCCCCTAAACCAGAAGTTTGCTTAGGAGCTCTGGGTGCTTAGCCTAATACTTACCTGTGGAATGAGAGTGCAGGGAACCCACAAGTGCTTTCCTTTGAGGTGCCAACACTTGCCTTAGGGGACTTAGCATTTCCCTTCTCTAGCAGCACTTCTGTTTTTGGCTTGGTGTTGATATCTGGTACCTTTGCTTTGACAGCCATCTTGCCTATAAGGGGGCATGCAGATGCATAAAGTAAGGTCAACTGTTTTATATACAAGCTTCAGTTAACACCCCAATTCTTAAGTCTATTGC